AAGTTATTTTGGTCAAGAAGAGTGAGACAAATACAAAACCAAAAGTTGTTAAAATCTTTATAGTCCTGACAAAAAGACCCAGAAACTCGAATACGTGAAACATCTGATAAAAAACACAAGCCCAATATGGCTAGGACCAGCAGAAGAGGTAGCAGCGAACTCTGCAGATCAGACACATAGCAAGAGGCAAAATCAAATTTATGAAACGAGAAAAGATACAACTCCAGGTGGGGTTGGTTAAAGGTTTCAGTAGAAACTTCAGGAGGGCTGGGCACAGTGGCTCATGCCTATAATCAAAGCACTCTGGGAGGCAGGTGGATTCCTTGAGCTCAGGAGTTCCAGCCAGAGGAGCTTGAGCCAGAGCCAGACCATGTCTCTAAAAAGAGCCAGGCATCGTGATGGGCACCTATAGTCCAGGCTACTCAGAAGGCTGAGGCATAGAATCACTTGAGCCTAAGAATTTGAAGTTGCTGTGAACTGTGATGCCATGGCACTCTATTGAGGATGACAAGGTGAGATTCTGTCTCAAAACAACAAGAAGAACAACAAAAAGAAACCTCGGGAGGAGGAAGCAGTAATGAACACCTATACCTTTCAGTATGGAAGTGTCACATACTGGAGCACACACTAGGTCAAATGAAGCCAGTTTTCCTCATGCTTATAATGTCCTGAATTTAAAACCCTTCCAGCCTGGTTAAAGAGAGAGGTCTGGACCAGAGGACACTTTCTGGCTTGCAGACTAGGCAAGTGAGAGCTGGTAGAAAAAGGAGGGTCTGGAGGTTCCCCAGATGGCACCCAGAAGAGGACACTCCCTCCCTCCACCCCACCCACTAGGTGAGCTCATTCATCCCTACCTCACACCAAACCCACACAGCCTCAGGGCAGTGTCAAAAGGTCCCCTGGTGGACTTCACTCTGGCCCTGTACTTGTCCATTCTAGCACACAACAAGAAGGACCAAAACCAGTGACAGACACGGACATCTCCATACCACTCACCCCCATTACTCCTACCTCCTTGGTCCTAGACAGCCACCTTGATACTGTTCTTGCCTCCTGCTCTTCCCCCGGCTCCACTAGTTAACCAACTAGTTTGAAGCCAGTTCTGATCCTAGAAACCTTCCAGGACCCATGTTTGAGTATTTGTCTTCTACCCCCACATCCCACCATCACTCCAGGCAGGGAGCCTTGTCACAGATGCTGATGGTGCCTCATCCATATCCCCTGTTTCTGGGTGTGTCAGCCTGATATCCACCTCCAGCCTCTCTAGCTCTTTGCCTGAGTTCTCTGTCAGGCCACCAGACACTAAACTGCCCATGTGTGTAGCAGGTCAGACTACCACGGAGTGTATAACTCCTCAGAACAGCCTCAGCCAATGACAACTGAGAGCTGCACATCAGCAATCAAGTCCAGGAACAGGTCTTTCTTTTTGACA